CTTCTAGTAGTGAGAGTAATTACGTGAACAGTATCCACATCTCAGGGTTTGGGGTTTCTGAGACATCAACAGTTTCCTATTTTCTCAAAACCAGTGACAATATCCTTCTCATCTTTCTAACATTTACTACAATAGTGAGAAACATGGATAAATACCCTGTACCATATAGTTTACTAGTACCAATATATGTAAGGTGACATCCAAGTCTTCTTCTCTCACCGATCTGCTATGAAGTGTTTTTTCTGTGTTTGTTCTTTCTGTTCATCTTGTTTAGAATGAAATCCTTCGAGGTTTTATTGCCACTAGCTCCGCCAGACTCCGATTCGCTGTAGCCGACTTTGTTTGCACCATTTTTCAAAGAAACGATGCTTGTTGGTAGGGGACCAATGTAGTGTGTGCTCTCTTACAACATTAGACTCCACTATTGCAAGGTTTGAGAAAATCATTATTCATATGACTATAGCATTTTAGTTCTTTAATGCCTGAAAATATCCACCTTACATATATGGTACTGTATGTTACATAAGAATAATATGTTTAATAATATGATAAATATATTGTAATATATTTCAGTTTGTAGGGAAACATCCGCAGCTGACATGTTCCTTAAAGAATTAATATTACTAGCTTGAATCTCCTTCTTGTTATATTATTATTCTAAACCATTAGATATTACACTTAATTACAGACACTGTATGTCAGTTAATATTATCTGAAAAAACATTTGAGATCATTAACTCTTCTGCCTCACACAAGTGTGTTGTTCAAGTCAAAGTGCATTTTTAAATCCAATAGAGATCCACCTTTAGTAAAAGTGTATAGTGTTGTTCCAGCAAACCCATGAATATTTAAAAGACAAAGCTGCAGAAAAGATATACTCTGTGTTATTGCCACTTAGAAGAGGTGCCAACAAAATGTTTCACATAAGTGAAAACAAACAAGATCAATCGTCAGCATTTATGCAAAGAGTGTTCCTTTACGGCACTCAGCTTTTATCTTCCTGCTAAATTTGCTCTTACCACAAATCGTCTCTTTTTATCCTGTGTCCCACCCACACCTGCTATCGACACACCCACATGAACAGTTGCACACCCTGTACACTTGCATTTTTCTCTTGATGGAACTGGATTACAAGTGGGCGGCAAGCCTTATTCCTCCTTCCTGCTCCCAAATCTCTTTGAATTGTCTTAGAACACAGACGAACACGGCTCAGATCAGAGTTATAAAGAGCTCATCTGTCTCAACACATCCACGAGAGCGACAGCGGAGCATTGCTCTCAGACAGGAACTTCTGAATTAGCTGTCAAAATAAATTATTTACGTTCTCAGCATGCATCAGTGAAAACTCTCTTTTGAGTTTATCGTGCAGGCCTTCGTGACAGCTTTTTGTGTCTCCACCACGTTGTTTCAGATTTTCTGCTCACATCGCAGTTTTGTCAAATAATCAATATGTGCACTTTTCTTAAAATATAATATATATAATATCTTCGGGGTAGATTTTGCAAGCAGATCAAGTTGGACCTGATAATTTAAACTAAATCCTTCGCTGAAGTGGAGGCTTATGTTCAAAAAGAATTATACAATCTTAAAGGAAAGTATTGTATAACACATCTGTCTGTCAATCACACTTAATGAGACACCTCGATAGAAAGACAGACATTTCTACCTTTTGTAGCTTCAAACTTATTTACATCTGTCGACACCGACAGCACACATACGGCACAATGACTAACAATAGCACGCTAACATAGAGACAAAACACACATCAACACATAAATGCACATCACAGATGCTTGTCGGAAACAAAAAGTCATGACTGAGGACGATTTGCACATATTCCTGTGTCGTCAGAGGAGTAACCTTCTACCACACACTCGTACGGCACACGCACACACAATCATACCTCTGACTGGCTCTGACACCAGCTATAGCATCTAAGTGGTGACATGATGCTTTCTGACAATGTCGCTGTTGAGAGAATTATTTCTCAGTGCAAGCCGAACAGTCTTCCTTTTTAACTGAGTTGTTTAGCTTACTTTTTACTTGTGTGGACAGTGTGTGTTTAAATGATGTTATGTGTGGTTGTGGTGTTTGTGTGCTCTATCGCTGGCTGACTGATTTGTTTGGAGCATCTCTGCTTTCGGGAAAATAAGATGTGAATATTCCTAATAGCTTTTTAATGTCTTTCTAATTTTCCCTTTTAAGTGCTCTAACGGTCTGTCCCAGAGGAGAAACAGTGGAAACGACTCATTTAGTGGCTACCTTTCCAGCCAGACAGAAGAAAATTACACTTCTTCCAAACTTACTGTCGTAAGATCAATTATAACCGGACATTTACTCAACTGTGTTTGATTGTATGGGTGAGTTTAACTGGAAGGACAATTTACAATTACAACAGTAGAGTTAGTGTCAAAAGGTCTGATTTATACGTTTTACATCATTTGAACAAACAATGTACTATGCAATATTTGCATTTTAACAAACAGATGATTAACTCATAATACATTTGTTTAAAAACGGAAGCTGAGGTAACCACATCCCTATTGGGAGTCAGCCTGAGGTTTCCATGTGCCTCCAGAATGAAATAGCCCGGTTTATAAAACCAAAACCTGACATTGTTAAACTTGGCTTAAACAAACAGCATATAATGCTTTTAAGCTTTTGTATTTTTTGACTGAGACAGGTTCTCTGTTTCCCGTCTTTGTGCTTCGCAAACCTGAACTAAACTATCGTATCAAATCTTAAAACCATTTTTCAAAAGACATAAAAACAATACACATGTTGAGAGAGTGATCAACAAACTATTCAACTAAAGAGCAAAAATTGACACCTGATCACATGTTCTGTTAACATAATGAGGCTATGTTGTTAATTCTAGTATTCTACATGTCAGGAATACCTTCATCAGTGAAATAATTACTGACAATGTATTTGTTTTCAACATAAATGTCAATGCAAAATACCCAAAATATATTTGTTGTTGCAGTTTATTTGTATAGAGACCTCTTCTCTGAGTATTACATTTTGATCACTTGCATGTAGTAGACATGCAATACAATAGAGACAAAATCATCTTTGGCACCTTTTTTTACTGCAATGTCTTGTTCTGTTTCAGCTGCTATTCCCAAAAACGTAAGCGCGTGTGTACGTGTATGTGTGCGTGCGATAGTGTAGTCAGTGATGGGAGCTGTGAGACATACTGAGGTTAATAACCTATGAGCCTGGCTCTGTTTTATTGGAGAAGCTTGGCTAGTGAATCATATGCACTGGTTCAAATGTGTTTGCCAAGATGGTAAGAAAGAGACAATGTGTGCGTCATTATTAACGGTGCATTTAACCTCACAGCAGCGGCCCTTTCTGTTACAGTAAAACATATGTTGGTTAACAGTAGTAGTCAGTGGCAGGGAGAGTGTGTGTGAGTGAGAGCGAGAGGCGAAAGGTGTGAGCAGAGGTTGATTGCAAAGTCATTTCCCAAGGCTTTGTCGCACTCTGTTAGCTCAAGAGCTCCATTTCAAAGACAATTTGTCTACTGCTGAGCACTGCTGGCAGAGAGCGGCCTCGTGGGGAGGAAAGCCTGCATATGGCTGTTTTTCTGCTTGTGTGAGTGTGTGTGTGTGTGTGTGTGTGCGTGTGCATGCATGCTTGCTTGAGAATCAGTATGTGCATGTGTAAATATTCTTAGTTTATGAGAGAGAGAGAGAGTGTGTGTGTGTGTATGAGTGTGTGCGTGTCCTGTGTAGAGAAAAGTGGTGTACCAGAGCTTCTAAGTCAATTACTCGTGACATTATCACAGATGCAGGCTCCGTCCAATCACCATCTAGCAGCCATCAGTGGCCGGCTGAGTGGTCACATTAGCGAGGTCGTGATCTGCTCTTCGGCTCGTTTTCAAGGCGATGCTAGCTTGGCTGTTCGCCCGCGAGATTTTTGGAGAGGTGCTCCATCATGTTCAAGCCTCAGCCTGGCAGGAGCTGCTGCACACACACACACACACACACACACACACACACACACACACACAGAGCCTGTGCAATGACTCTTGGCTCATTTTAACAACATTTTCTTACTTACTCAGCAAACGTTGTTGCATCCACGACTATAACATTCCGATGTCTTTCAATAAGTGTCTGAATTAAAATGTTGGGTTTAAGGACGTTAAATAATGATCTTCTGTGGCGTTAAAGGCCAAACTGTCGATGGTAGTACCTTGTTGGAAAATGATTAAGTTGCAGTCTCTACCAATAATTACTGGATTTATTATTTTCAACTAAAACATTTTTATCAGAATAGTGAAAAAATGATTGAAAAAAGAAAGTATATAAAATAAAATGTTATGTAATTTGGGGAAATTGCATTTTACCAATGCTACACTTTGATTACACCTCTTGTTGTTGATTTTATTTGACTATATTCTTTTTATTTAGTATTGTAGCATCTTCTTCACCCCTCACACAAAACTGAATCATCTTGTTTCTAGACCAACCTTAGTTTTTCTACTAAGTGAAACTGCCACATTAAAGTTTAGAATTAAATAACTTACTGTCTGTTTGTCAGCAACATTACACAAGAAGCAATTTTGTGGAAAGTGGCTGGATGGTTGGGGTATGTACCAAAAAAGGACCCATTCGATTTAGGTGTGGGTCCAGGATTTTCTTTAACATTGTGAAGAATTTACTGTTGGCTCGTAGCGGAGGTGTACGATCTACTGCCTTCTTGTTTTTTCTTGTTATACATAAAGCTGGTCTTGTTTTTCATGTGTGCATCATGAAATCTATTGATGATATGTGATAATATTCTTATTGACCATTGGGATTTATGCACAATGAGCAACCAGATTTGATATAGTGTATGTCCTGAAAAGATCTTATTTTGATATATCTGAATACCTAAGTGTTCAAATTAAACTCTTAACCCAAAGTAAAGCTAAAACTTTTCTCCATGGTTCACAGTATATTTAATGTTATAGTTCTTATGTGGCCAAAACCTCTTTATTTTTCTCCCAGGTATGCTGTTCTGAGAGACCCAGCAGGCTGGCTGAGTGTGAACCCAGTCAGAGGAACTGTCAACACTTCAGCCTCGCTGGACCGAGAGTCTCCGTATGTCCATGACAACAAGTACACAGCTGTCTTCATCGCCACAGACAACGGTGAGTTGCCGATGCCAGAATGAAAACTACAGAAGGCAATTAAACATGAACAGAATGTTTATTTATAAAATAAAGATAAAAAGATGTCAATTTTGATGCTTTGATCGCTGATAAAACAGTGACAATGAAAGGCTTTAGATGTACTGTCCTAGACTGTTTGCACGAATATATTCCCCAGAAAACAAGCATTTGATGCAGGAAGATAAATATAAAAAGACAAATATATTACATGATTATACACATATAATGTGTACTCTGAAACCAGCTGTGAAACAAATTATAATTCCTTGTGTGTGACGATGCTGCACCTTGTAACATGTAGAGCACTTTGATGATGTGTGATCTGCTGTCTGTGGTGATGTGTGGTGTCGGTGCTGTTGTTGTTGGAGGTGTTATTGTTCTCTAATTGTCTGAATATTGCTGTATGGCACACACATGAATTTCAGAGAGGACAAATCTCTCTGTCTGTCTGTCTGTCTCTCTCTGTCTGTCTGTCTAACAACCATGTTTTCATAAGCTACTTCAGATGGTTCAAGTGTTTTAAGAGAGTTTGATGAATTGGTGGCAGCGTGTCAACAATGTTTCCCAGTAGAGATTCACTGTTATTTGCATTTTACAAAGAATTCCTCCTGGGTGACGAGCGCTGGAGCAGAATCATGCGCTTAAAACAAAACCGAGCCCTGTGCAGAAGTACAGTTAAAAACTTGGCACAGCCTCACGGTTGTCTGTTAGTTTGACCTGGCCACAGTGGAGCTGTCGTTGTCCCACGGTGACAGTGGGATGCCTCTTTTGGAGCATATGGTGGCTGGTTGGCGACGTCAGAGAAGCTGCTGCTCTGAGACCCTCCATGGCACATGTGAAAGTGTCAAGAGCACCAGCGCTTCTATCTTCTTTGTGTCTGTCCCTCTGTCTCCGTCCTATCAATCCATCTAGTCTCCTGTGCTCAGGGAGATTTTGACAGATCCATTACCGGAACTGAGGGATTCTATTAGCAGGCAGCAGAATAGAACTGTTGTGCTGGGGACTTCAGGGGGACCTTAGATAGATGAGCGTTGAAAGAGGAGTAAGGACGGGGCAGGAGACAGAGGTGGAGGAGGCGAAAGGGTCAAGGGAAGAGGAGAAAGGGACATAAGGGGAGATAACTGGATAAAGATATAGAGCCAGTGAAGTGGTTGAGAGAAGAAGAGAAAGGATGAAGATAATAACTGGACAGGGCAGAGAGTCAGATTAGAGCCAGATGAGAAGTAGGGAACATGACACAACCTGATATTATTCTACTTTTAAAGATGCCACGTGTAACCTGTTGTCTTTCACATGGAAGAATTTCCTCTCCTGTTAATTTTGACAAGTTTCATCAATCAAAGCAAACTCCTTTCTTCAATCTATGCATGAGCATATGGGATTTCTATCAGAGTCACTGTAATTTGTGATTGACATTATCAAATCTACCACCATCTGCTAAATGTGTGAAGACAACGAGCCCAGATAACTTTATTTTAGAAACAGGCCCCTGACAGCTGCACTTACGATACAAACTTATGATAATGACTTAAAACACATTCCATCCAATTTTCAAGAACTGAAAATTGGCATCAAAAGCTTTTTTTAGTTACTGTCACCATTTCTTCCTCATTGATCAGAAGCTTCCTGAAGTTCTTACAGCTGCTTGTGTTTAGATCGTGTTTGACTTTCAAAATAATTTTACTCTTTTCTAAACAAGTTTGTATAAAAGTTATATTAATCAAATAAATTGTGAAATCTACAGTTCTGTTTATTCTCAGTAATTTGAGGAATTGTATCAGCTACTAGACTTGCTTGTGTTTCATGAAGACATTTCACCTATAATCTAAAAGTCCTCTTCAGTTTTAACTTGCTAGTGGAAGGTTTCAGATGTTAAACCCCTGTGGATCGTTACCTATCTTGACAGTAGTAATGTTAAACATGCAGGTCGTAGCTGCTGTATTGAGTTTGCAGCCATGCATATCAGCATTGTGAGGTTGTTCTCATGCACAGCTTTGCTTTGAGTTAGATGCATCAGCACAGGGACACTACAAACATGCTGATTCAAGCAGGTACAGCATGTTTAACGTGGTCACCATCATAGTTTTGTTGGTGACCACGTTAAACATTCTCACACGGGCTAATTCTTTTACTTGAGGGGCTGGCAGGAGAATATCAGAAGCAACTGTCTCGTACATTTGCATTCTCACATACACCGGATATCATCAGGAGAGTGTTTCGAGGTCAGTGCATGTCTGAAAGCAGATTTTTTAAATAAAACATTTGATGTCACAACAACATTTGCTGCCAATCCATCTTGTTGATGGTGAGATATTTCACTGGGTCAAAACTTTGACCTGCCAATGGAGCTGGAGAGAAAGTCAGGGGATTGAAAAAGTTCTTAGAATTCAACCTCTGAAGATTATTTGTTTATGATTAGTTACATTAGATTGTATGAGTTAGTTACAGAGATAGATTTGATTAATTTACATTCATGCTGTGTGTTGCTCCTGCAGGCTATTCCTATATTACCTACCAGGGTATTAATGTAGGCAACCAAAGCATGAAAATCCAAGAACTTCAACCTTTAACAACTTGCTGTGTCAAAGTCTGCATGCATGTAGTTGCAACGTGAGCAGAATGCTGATATCCGCTTGACCCCCGCCTCACCTCTTTTGCTGCACGCTCAGTCATCAGCAGGGAACATTTGCTCCTTCCCCACGGCGATCCGTACAATGATTGTATGACAACCCAACGACTGCATGAAGACTATCAGTAGAATATCGATCGAGCGCTTACATCTTCAATACATAGCCACTCTGCACCGGAGAGGCTGAGAGTGAGAGAAGGAGAAAGAGAGCCAGACAGAAAGGGGGTGTGGAAAGAATATATATATATATCTATATCAAATCAATTTGAAGTAATAGGTATTAAGCAGGGTCAAAAAGATGTCTCTATATATTTAGCTTCTCAGAGCTATGTCGTTATACTTGACAATAAAAATCTCCTGCATCAACTATAATCTATAGTTTTGACATTTCATCAATATTTCTCAAGATGAAAAACAAACTCCCAGTTACCATACATGTTTAAATGTGTAACTGAAACTAGGTTAAATAATACTATATCTCCTTTGTTAATGGCTGGTCTCTGTGCAGTTTAAGAGAAGATCTTGTGCACAAGTTCGAAAAGGCAATTGCACTCTTGGTAAATGTTTTGCATGGTTAGCAACAGATTGACTGTTACTCCTGGTTAACAGTGGGGTAGGTCAGCTGGAGCAGCTCTCCAGGCGGCAACAGATGGTGAACAATGGAGCGAACATACGTAACACATACCGAGGCAGGAAGGAAGTCAGGATCAAGGAAGACAGGCGAATGGGTAGAGGACAGCAGAGGGGAGGAGAAAAAGAGGATCTGAGGTATAAACAACATAGTGAACTAATGGTAATGTGGATGTCGAGGTCGGGGTCATCTCAGCTGGTGGATTTGCAGCTGCGAGTCAGGAGGTAACACACTGTTGCCATAGCAACCAGCTGCACTTGCAGGAGTGGCCCACAGAGCCATTAATCCACATGATGTGTGAACTTCGTGAATTGCCGTTGTGTGCATGTCCATCAGAGGTGTGTGTACTTCAGATTTTTTTTAGGTCACGGTTTGGTATGTTTTTGGTTCAGCGAATTTGAGCACATCTTTAAACCCTGTGTTCTCTCAGCCGGGTTTGGCCGCTTATCCACTGCTATCAAGTCACCTATGGCTTTTGTTATTGAAGTGTGGACACCTGACCCAGGTGGGCTTGTTTCAGAGAAATATTTTTGAAATGATATTCAGGTTTCGTTCGAGTTCAGTCATGATGGCTGAGCTTTCCACTCAATTTCTCACACTGCACATGCCTGTCATCTGGGCAAACAGTGGGTCGTGTTTGGACACAAAACACAGGAGGCTGAGTGTTTGGGTCGGGCACGGTTAGTTTTCTCTCAGGATTTGTGATTGCTTTGGTCCAGTCTGAATTGTTAGCAACAGGCTGCTTAAATATAAAGAAGTCCTGGGTTTGCAGCCATAGAGCTGGTTCCATAATTGCGTTACAAATGTGTGCCGAAACAAAAGACCAATGTTGGAAATTTTCGGTAAAAATACGTATACAGTTAAACCACTAATGTGCATGCATGTGCACACAAATGTGTAAATCTGCTTATTTACATGAGCTGGTGCTCACACTCATCCCTACATCTGTGTTTGTGCACATCGTTTCTCTGCTCCCATCGTGTGCTTTTGAGTAAATGACTCTAAAGCCACAGCTGAGTTTTGCCTGGGCAGCGACACTTGGCAGGCTGGCGGAGCGGCGCAATATTGTTTGAGGAGATATTGTTCCTACCTGAGCAGAGGGCTGTTTGAATAAACTCTCATCAGTAACTGCTGGTTGTGCACACCAACAAATTCTCATCTGCTCTCTGATTCCCCGTCGGGATGCCAGCTGTTCCCGCATCTTATCCCCTTCTCCATCCCTCACATTAGTTTTTGGATTCACGGAGAGAGGATCTATGTGTGTGTGTGTTTGTTTGTGTGTGTGTAGATTATGAAGTTGTGTGTTCATTCTGGTTTTTAATGTTTTTGTCCTGGTACATGCAGTGCCTCGCTGGCTTGCCCCTGTGTATCCATGGCAGTGTGTATGTGAGTGTGTGAGAGCGTGTGTGTGTGTGGTTTAATGTTTTCTCCTGCTCCTCATTTAAATGTTAAACCGCCTCCTGGTGGGAGCCATTTGTCATTGGGAGACATGAATACATTATCAAAGCCCCAGTCATCTGAAACATGGTGGCACACACACATCCACACACACACGCAGTCCTCCATGTGTGCTGCCACAGAACCTGCTATTAAAAACTCTTAAGTTATTGCACAGAAGAGCCGAGCAGGGTTTGCTTTGAAACACATGGACGTAAAGACAGGAGACCTGTGTCTGTCTATCTGTATCACAGCGAGACAACTGCCACACAGTCAAAGGGA